AATCATAAAAATGTGTCTAAATTACAACAACTGAGATAGAGCAGATAAACACCAAGAGACAGAAGTTTGACGATACGCTGTTAGTGGTTTCTCTCTTCAGTTTTGTAAATCAAAAATAGAGCCTGAAATTCTTTGCTCACATTTCCTTGACTTCAGCATTTAGGGCAAGTCAGAGGCTGATTTTTCTTCCCATGCAAGTGGAATTCCAATAAATGGAGATAGTCGTAACTGTGAATTTCTCAGCAGTTTTCATTTTCACAACAGTTTCAGACTCATGTCAAGTTTCTGGAAATAATCCAGGAAAAGGGATAGTGAAGGGCTTAAATTATACAGCTGTGAGGAACAAATGTTTCCATTTATTTCACCAAAACAAAAACTTTGAATTTCTAGTATAGCTAAAAAAAGAGAGTAGATTCCCTTGTTTAAAGATTGTTTAGCATTTTTGTCAGCTAGTGTAAGGAAAAATGAACTTGAACTTTCTAATCAGATTTACTCCCACACTCTAATGGATGAATACACTGCTGCCGTATTTGGGATTCAAATACTGTTTCTCTTTTCATTTTAAATGATTGATCAATCTTTCTACCCAAATAGTTACATTTACAATAAATAAAATTTGTCACCTTATGTAACTTACTGTATATTTATCAAAGCTTCCTCTTGTGTGATACATGAATCCTTTTTAAAAGCAGTTTCAGCTCACCAGTAGGTGTGCCAAGTATGGTGAGAAAAGTTAGGTATTATTTATTAGACCTGTCCCAAGCACTGGGAAGCACAAGGTGGCTGAATCCTCGATAGCTCATTATTCTCCTTCCCCCTCAGACATTGCCCCACAGTTACTTAAACTGTCATCCACCTCCTGCTCTGTGCTGCTACTGCTTTTTTCAAAGGCGAGTTTCAAAAAGTGTTGTGGATTCCTTGTTGAGAGAAGACACTTTGAGATGAGCAAAATTTATGAAGAAAATGGCAGTTAAAGGGCATTAGGTCATGGCTGAGGTTGAAAAGGCAGGTGAAAACAGGCCCTTTACCATTAATTCATATACCCCTTATTTTAGTACTTCTATAACTCTCCCTACACTTACCCCTGTGTGAATTGGGAGCATTCCACTGAAGTTATTGCACATACGCTACCATAAAACTCATGTGAAGGAGGAAGGCCCTCAGTGTCCCTTCAGTGCCACTGAACTGAGAAATCAAAATTCTCAGTTCTCGCTTTGCAAGGTCAACCCTCCTGCAGACCAGGTCCACCGCCGGGGTGCCATGATGCACTGATGCCTTGTGCAAATGAACAATCACATCCTCAAGTGCTCTGCCTCTGCCGGCTTTTGTCAATATCGCTGTTTTCAGACACCATTTGGAGTTTAACTTACCCAGATTGCAGGTATAGATCAACTAAAGTAGTGGTTCTTTGAATCAAAATAGGAACTTTGGCTTCTAGCAAATGCAAACTTATCTGAAATGTTTCATGCGTTTGAGACCAAATTCTGTGGTGCAAAATGTTAGTGATACATAGACCAGCTGTACGTAACAAAGAAAGAAATGATGGCACAGGTTATAGTTGTACTGGAACTTGTAGGCTATGATCACAGTATATGTAATTCATTTGGGTTGAATTTTGTTTAAACTGCAAGGAAAGGAATATTAAGCCTCTGCCTTTAATAAGCGTTGTCAGATGACCAGCCATGTAAGTACAGAGCATTAGAAATGTATCAGGTGTGAGGATTAATGTGGTTCATGATGTCCATTGGAAGGTGAATGATTCACAAGGAGTGAATATTCCTCTCATTAAATCTAATGGGGTCATGTCAATGGAAGCTAATGCATTGTGAATTAATAAGTTTTATTAACATGTCTAAGAAAAGTACATGTGGTAGATGGTATAATGCTATAGTATATCTGCAGAACCATAGTGACATGCAAGTTTTAATTTTTGCTCGATTGCTACTTTAACTGTTATTCCTTTCAAATAATTACTGACTTTCCAAGTGATATTTGCATGTTATTTTTCTGCCCAGATTTAGTTCTTAAAAACAAATGTGTTTTCAAGAGGACAGTTTAGTGTGGGGAAATCAGCTACTTTCTGTGTTTGAAACTTAAATGTTTTGAAATGGTTAGGCAGCATTATTAGTGCCTTAAAATTGGTCCCCACCTGAGAAGACAAAGTGAAGCCTTGAGACTAAAGTTTAAGTAATCAGAGCAAGCTTTTTCAAATTACTGTAGCTTAATATTAGAGTGGCAAAAAAATCGGTATCTTTTACGTTGATACCAGGTGCCTGGTACCATTGTGCTAACTACAACATGTAAGTTTTACAAGAAATTACTAAAAATTAAACTAGTGATTTCCATTTCTCTCTATTTTATTATGTTCTGCTTTCCTGTGTGCAAAGTGTCATTGCCATGGCACCTTAGAATGCTGATTACTTATAATAATTGTCCTTGTAATTTGCCTGGAAGATCCACTAGTATTATCTTCCAAAATGAAAGCACTAAAATCCTGAGCAGGTTTTAGTCAAACTAAGTTTTTCAAATGTTGTAAGGATCTTGTTACTGGATCAGTCAGGATTTTATGCCAAACACTGAATATTAGGCTGAACTTCCTTATTGATTTAATGACAGCTATTGCAACTGGCAACTCTCATTGTGTGTTTGTGTGTGTTTGTATATACACACTGATTAATTTAGGATTATCTGAATTTAAAAATTACAGGATTAGAGATTATAGTTACAGTGGCCATGTCATTTACTGCAGTCTTTTTGAATGCGAGTATGCAATCAGTTGGAAGTCTGACCTCCAAATAGATATCCAAGCTCAGACAGGCTGCCACTCATTCATCGTCTGCAACAAAGTGATCAGGTATCACTGAGACACCTCCTTAATGAAGTGATTTTGTTGCCTTTTATCTGTGTGAAGGACAAACTGTACCAGGATTCTTGCTTAACGATGGTGTCATCTTTTTCAGTGTTTAAAAAAAACCCAGCAACATAGAAGAATCAAACAAAATACTCAGTGTACATGTTTAAATTATGAAGTTCTATAGGTCTGTAACATTTAGGTCTGTATTTAAAATCTCATGACATAAAAACATGATGTTACATCAGTTCACTAATAAAAGTAAATTCATAAAGATGATGCAATTAGTGATATACCATGTTTGGGATTTGAAATACTTTTATTACAGCTTTTTTTAATCCAAAAGTCTGATTTCTTTCAAATATGTACCAGAGGTTTTCTGAGTACAGTTTGCAAGGAGCTTTACTTGTTTTCCAGGATATTCCCAATGCATCCGTGAGCATATTCCTGATCTTGCTCTCCAACAGAATATGCAGATGGGAAGGCTGTGTGACATACTGGGTATGTTATGAGCTGTTGGCTGCCTATTTTTCGATCGTTATTTGCCCATAGTTGTAAGTAACAGAGAATGACCAATGAGGACTTTTTTTTTTATTAATGTTAAATATAGAGAATATATAAGTAATTTATTTGCTATGGCATTTGCTCTTGTCCACGTTATTCGTAAGAAGAACATGCTGATTCTTTCCGACTCTGTGATAAGGTAAAACAGCCTCATCCTGTGGCATGCTGAGCACCACAAACTATCAAAAGTGTTTAGTGTTCTACAAAATTAGGTAGCTAATTCTGCTAGTGTTCATTCAGGCTCATACGGAGAGAAAGATGTGCTGGAAAAGAGCAAGCCCTTATTTAAACCTTTTTTTTTTTCCAATAGGCAAACAAGGCAAAAGGCATACATTAAAAAGTTTTTCCTAGAATGAGTCCTCTTTTAAGCAAAGCAGTGAAGAATATTATTTGTCAGTGACCAACTTCACTGGCTCCCTGGAATGACATACTTTACATGATTCATGTATATTTCAGTATCATTATTGTTTTATAAATGCCATTTGGTAAGTTTGTAACAAAAATATATTAGATCTAGACATTTACAGTTGTCTAAAATAATAATGTAATTGCCTTTATATATTATCTAGGCACTAATATTGTTTTTCCACAGTACAGGGGTTTTTTTCATTTTTCTAACAGAGATTTTTTTGTCTCTAAAATGATAGTTACAAACTTAAAGGGACAAACTCAACACATTACACAGGCATTCTTTATCACTTTAAAATCTGTGAACATGAAAATTGTTCTACTGTAAAATGTAAAATAGACCATGAGTAAGATACAAATTAGTTAAATATTAACTAGATCAGATGCTTTACCTGTGCCTGGCAGAAGAGCATTGCTATTTACCATATTGGCTTTTTTTCTTTACAATACCAGAGAATTTCCTTGCTTGTTGTGACCTGCTATCAGCTAATCTGCCTCTGGAGGCCCACTGTGTCCAAAGCAGACTTGTATATCTCTTTATAGGGCAGTGCTAAAAGTAGTAAAATGTGTTGCAGCATTTTATTCAACAAATTCACTTGAGCTTGTCAATTTTTGACAGTGCAGTCCGTTCAGCATTACAGCCAACGTTGGCAAATAGTCTTTTGTGCCCTAGCTGGTAAATTTTCAGGCTTATTTTGCAAGTCTGAGTAAATGCCTAAAAGCAATAGAGTATTGACTAACAGTTCTAATGAACTGGTTTTTTAGTTATTTTAAAAACTTACATGGTAATGAACTGTATTAATAAAGGCTCTGTCGGGGCTTCAGATAACAGGGCTGATTGTCAGATGCTGTACTGCTAAAATGCTTCAGCTGAGATTCAGGCCTTACATTTTTAATGTGGGTTGTTTGCCTGTAGCAGTACAGCAAAACAAAGTGAATGAGTGGCATATCTTATGCCTTTATAACATTAGGCTCAGGGTTTCCTTAGTCCAATACTTGCTTTGCTTCTGATTCATTCGTATGTAATAGCAGTTGTCCCTGGCACTTTCAGGGCTCTTGTTCCTGTGCCCAGTAAAGACAATGAAAGACTTCCTACTGAGTGCAGCAGGAGTGGGATCAAAATCTAGGAGTGCTTTTTGGCAGCGTATTCTATTGATGTTGCAAGGCCCATTAATTCATTAGCTCATCTATTAACATTAATACTTTAGAAGAGCAGAGTAGTTAAAATTTTCTAGAAGAGCATATATTAAAGACTTTCACTTTCTCACCTCTAAGTGTTTGTGTATACACTGTCTTTCAGCCCAAGTTGTTTTACATGCAGAAAAACAGATTTTCACACTGTGGTATTTAACTAGCTAATCTGCACACTCACATGCTCAGCAATAGTTACTAATGGTATCCTACCGTGAGCTTTTACGTGGACAGGACAAGAATAGGAACAGGCCATGCAAAATCCAGGCAGCATATGAAATTGCAATTTCATCAGCTTTCTAAACTTAATAGCTCAGTTTTATAATTTACTGAAGTTAATGGGATATATTTTTAAAGCAGCGCGCAATTCCCATTGACGTTAATGTGAGTCGCGCATATAAATTCCCCTGCAACACTTTCAAAATTCTGCCCCCAATATGTTCTGCAGATTGAATTCCGAAAACTAGTTATTTCTTTGGGTTGCTGACCTGTCTTCAGAGAAATGCTGAAGCACAGAAAAAGCAGTTAAACCACTAAGATTTGGGAATTACAGATCTCATTTTTATTTCCAGTGCTTTTTTAGGGAAGCTGTTAGCAAATGATCAGGAATTATCAGATTGCTGTTCTGAATAGAGTCTACCTTTCTCCCAATAATGAACATTGTGCCCCTTTGTTTTAGATGCCAACGTGGACGTCATCTACATCTGCCCCCTTCATTTGAGTGAGGAGTTACTGCAGTATTACAATAAACTCCTGGGTCTGCAGGCAGCTGTTAGATCTGGGAACCCTGAGGACATGGGTGACCTGCAGGACAGGTTCAAAATTCTCACCCCTGAAGCTATAAACAGCTTCCCTGTGAGTTTGTCTTCTAATTACTACAGCTTGAGGGATGCAGTAAAATTAAATTGGAAATTTTATAACCTGTAACGCTCTGGTACACATCAGTGAAATATTATTGCAAGTTTAAGGGCTTTACTGATTAGACTACTAGTTAGAGCATTGGAAATAAATATCCCGGTTTAGCTTTATAGACTTAGTTGAGATAGTCCTATATTGGCTATTTGTAGACCACTGTCCCTTCTTACTATATGCTTGGACTGGGAACTTGATAGATTTATATCTCTAAGCAAATCGTAGCAATAAACCATTCTTATTACTCAAACTTTATCTCTGGGTAGCCCAGCATTCAATCATTCACGTGTTTGTAGTGTTTCTTGCAATTAAATCCAATGCAGAACTTCTTAAAGAACAGAACGTAAAACTACTTAGGTTAAGTAATACAGAAATATTAGTTCCAAACCTGTCAAGTCAGTTTTAAATCTAAAAACATGGTCTAAAAAGAGACCTTAATGAATGTATACTACATACAGTGTTTCTGAAAATACTGCAGTGCAGTGAAAATTCTTTACAGTGGAGAATAATTTTATATTGTAAATATTAAGTCCACAGTGTCTTAGCTGAGATTTTATTTTTATGAAACTTTGTGGTACGTTTATATCTCTAGGGTCTATGCTTGAAGCCCTGTTCCTGTTTTCGATATATATTAATAACCCTCTTCTAGTTATTTTGTTGAACAAATATTTGTTATACCATATACTGATTGAAACTGATGGTTTCAGAAGGTAAAGAAGCTTTTTGTATTTCATAAATGTGTTGGTTTTCAAATGTAGTGTACTGTTCATCAAAACACTTGCGTATATGTATGAATCCATTTCTGTTGAAATAGTCTGAAAACACCTGTGTGAGAAAAGTGCTTAGCTCTTTTGCTGTACAGGGAGGGACCCCTGAGTCAGATCTGTCTGATAGTTTTTGCCATAGTTAAAATGAATTCTGTAGATATGAATGTGTTCTGTTTTCTCTGAAGTTGGAGAAAATCATCAAGATGATATTTGTGTGTTTAGGAGCTGGCTTTTCTTTAGTATCGTCCTTTTATCTGAATACTGGAAACCTACAAGAATCACAGCTGCCTGTGCTGGGCCTTCACCTTGTAAAGTAAAATTATTGGGATGGTAAATCCTTGATAAATACCGGTGATATATTTTTTCTTTTTAAATTGCACTTTGACAATTGTAACTGTTTTTTCTCTGGATACTGGGTTATTTTTCCAGTACTAACTACCAAATACTGGAAGCTTTAAGAAACCTTCTACATAAAACATGCTAAAAATATCATCTAAAACACATCATATCATGGATAAAAGATGTGCTGCTAAACATGGAAAGGCTGTCCAGGAATGGAAAACATCTTTCATGGACGATTTTTGTTATGGTGATTTGGCTGAAGTAGTTTTGAGGTTGTTTTCAGGCATGCATCTCTTGCGTATAGCCTTCACTCCTCCAATATCTGTTGAAATATTCCAAACAAAGTTTCTTTTCCAGAAAGAAAAGAAGAGCAAACAGCTTTGTGAAAATTCGCTTTTGTGAAGAGCAAACAGCTTTGTGAAAATTTGTTATGCAACTATGATTTACTGGGAAATGTTCACATGCTCTGATGTAGCGAGCTAACCTTAGTTAGAAGGGCTACATGGTTCTTCCATGGATATGGATCGCCCCACTCACCCAGTAGTGGAATGCTGAGAAGTGTATTAGTGCCAAGTGCCATCAGAAAGAATGGGCAATCACAGGTTTTACATGATACTGGGTTGAGGGTTACGTGTACCTTGGCTGTTCAGTGTGGTGCACCTGTTTATATGCAAAATCCTCAAACTACCTTGTTTTCATTAAGCTTATGCTCTTTACCATCTATTAGCTAATGTGTCCAAGAAATGTATCTTTTGTGTGGAGAAGAATCTGTACTCATAACTAACTGATCCTAGTCACCCACTGGCTTCAGTGACCATGGATTTAGCTGTCATTTTGTCTGTGTAAAGGTTAGGGCTTTATAGGTTCTTTTTAAGCATCTTTCTTCTGGATTATTTAATAAAAAGCTTTTGTGGTACCTAATGTATCTAAATTTATTCCTAATATATGAAAGCGTGGCTTGAAGGCCACCTTAGCAGGCTCCTTTGAGCCTTTGAGCAATTCTAGAAGCACAAATCAGCCTTGGCCAGTTTCCTAGCTATTTTGATGGAACTGGATGAAAGGAACAAATCTGTGGAAAAGACACCCAGATGCAGGTAGACCTGTGCTTGTTGGTGTCTGCAGAGGGGAGGTAGAGAGAGACTGTGAGAAAAGGGTGTCCATATACTGTTGTCCTTAGGCAGTTGCTAGCTATTAGAATGACCTCTTGTGACTCAGGGCATCCAGGTGCAATGTGAAACACTTCTAACAAAGGGTTATGCCATCCTGATTCTCAGCTAGCAGCATGTCAAAACAGCATCATGGTAGCTTTGCTGATCATGGTGAGGCTGATGCCAAGGTCAGCTTCTCTGATCTTGAGAAGTTTGAAAAAAGAAAAAAAAAATCAACAGGCTTGACAACCAAGAACTAGCCTTTTGGTTAACCTACTAACCACTGTTCTGTGCAGTGTCGTGCTGGAAATCTGAGGATTTCTCTGTTCTCCTGCTTCTACCTGCTTTCACTCACACTACTATATATCATGGCAGCTATACCACTAACTAGATTTTACAGCCTGTTTCCTGCACTCCTTAATTAACTGTAAAATCCATTATTGAGAGACACAAAGCAAATCTCGTCCCTACATCACCACTCGTGGCCCCAGGGAGCAAGTGACCGGGGCTGGAAATTGATCCTGTTCTCTACATGGCAGAACTGCCACCAGACCAACAGAACGGGCCATTTCCCTGCTTTTATACCTGGGCTCAAGAGAAAGGAAACAAATTAATCAGAACATTAGAGTCTCAGTTTTAAAACTGACGGAAGGAAAAAGACTCCAGGAAATTTGTTTGGTGTTCCTTTTGCCCTTATACTTCTGTGACTCCCCTTTTCCCTACTAGAACTTTGAAGAGTATCTCATTTCTCTGACTTATATCCTCACTCTCCTTGCAGTATGTCTGACTCCTTACAGTCTCTCCTCTCTAGAGAGACTTGGGCACTTTTTGGAGCTGTGTGTTTGGTATGAGAAAGCACTGAGGAACTAACAAAAGGGAATTCCTTTTTTCTACTTCCAGGGGCTCCCCCATCACCTTATCCACCATCGTCCCCATCCAAGTAGTGGAATCAGGATTTATATTTCAGTCTCTGTGAAGGAGCACCCAGGACTTTGAAGGAAAATATTCTGGGTTCTCCAGTCCTGGAAATCCACAACAAATCCAGTATTTAGGCTATCCTGAAAAGGAATACTTTCCTGACTATGGCCTAAATTAGATGAAAACTCATTGTGAAGAAGATTTTCTTCTTGTTACGATTATGATTTGTTTATGGCAATCTATTGCAGTGGATGTCTATTTCTATTACTGTGTCTATTACTATTTCTGCGTGATGTCCATCCCTGTCTGTCTCAACCTCAGTGCACCTCTATCTATACCTTTGGAAATAATAATAATTGGGTTATCTGCAGGCCATGCATAGGATATCTTGTAGAAAATATTTTTGAGGTTTCACCTACCGTGACTAATATTCTTAGCTTAAATTTAGAGGTTATAGCATCTGTCATGAACAGCTTGTTCAGCAATAGATCTTCTTTTTTAGAAGAAATGAAAAATTCCTCCCAAAAAGTTGAAACCCTTGTACTTTAAACAACAACAAAAATACTACCCTCTCCTTGAGTACTCTGCAGTTGTGTTTACAGTAGCTATCAGAACTACTGTGTAATGGAAATGTATATCCCCAGTAATTTAACGTGATCAGTGAAAGCTTTTGTAAATCAAAGTGGTTTATTCTCAGAGAATTGCTTAAAATACTGCTGAACTGTATGGTGAAATACATTCCCTGCTATAGGGGTTTTTCTTCATTTTTGTATTGATTTTTAGGAGCTTTAGAGTTAAACCATGCCAGAAGTGTTGCTGAGATGAATCACTATTATCCAAAGGCCACCAGCCTCTCTGCCGACTGACAGAAGGATAATTCCGCATGGATCAAATAAATACAGATGTGTAGTAATTAGTTCTATTCCCAGTGAGCCCATTTCCAACACACTAAAGATGTGCACGATTATGGAGCTTCACCCCAACAGCTTTTATCAATTTAAACTGCTAAGCTACAGGATAGGTCATAACCCAGCCTGCTATTAATAATGTATTTATTGTGTGCAACATTATAAATTAGGTTCATGCAATAGAAAAGAACACCTTTTAACAAGAATAATGTTATCTCTATACAGAAGCATCACATGTGCCTAGCCACTCAGCTGAAGTACAGTCCCAAGACAATCAAAAGAATAAAAAATCTTATCCAGAGCAGAGATGCCTACATTATTGGAGGGGTTCCCCACAAAGATGATTTAGCAGTGGCTGACATGCTAAATGTGCCTATATTAGGCTCAGTGCCAGAAGTGGCTCATCTCTATAGTACCAAGTCTGGAAGTAAACGAATTTTTGCTAGTGCTTGTGTGCCAACCCCTCCTGGAGAATCTGACATCTACAACAATGAACAGGTAAGCAGGATGTGGTCTGGGATGTGTCAACGTGCAGGTGCCTGTTTTCACTTGATAGGATGCAAACTTTGTACAATTGCAATGACTGTATTGATTAGACCCTAACTGGGTTTGATTAAATTATGTATGAGGTTGGGTTCTTTTTTGGCTCTGTCTGACCAATTAAATGCAATTTGTATCCTAGTCAGGAAGCAATACAATTGTTCTGGTATTCTTCATGGTCTTTCTTGGGCTTTGGTCCAGTTATTTCAAACAGTTTGTGTTGCTGCTCCGTGGATGAAGTCATGGCCTCAATGATTAATAGGACTGAAAATAGAACTGGGATTTCTGGGAAAATTAAGTATTTGATGAAGGGAAAATTTCTCCCACTTAGGAAGTCAGCCTATTCAAATTGAGGTTCACTGAGCATATCTGCAACTGAAGTTTTACCTTGTGTCCGGCTTATCATTGCTAAATTCACCTATCTTGTTAGCATGACCAGTAAGAAAAGAAAAGGATATTACTAAACTAAAATTACAAGGCACAAGAGGTTTCTGCACTGTGTTCAGTTTACAAATGTTTATTTTGCATTCAGTGCCTCAGTATTTCATTCTATAAGTTGATTTTTGCAATTTGCAATGATATGTCTAAGTATGATCCATACCAATTTTTTAAGAAATATTTTTATGGTGGTGCTACATCTCATACAGGAAAATAATACCTAATGGTTTTTAGGTATTCCTCCTTCTTAGAGAGGCTTTTCACATTGCTTTGCTTTTTATTAATCACCTTTAACACTGAAGACAATCTAAGCTACACAAATACATTGCAACTTCTATAGTAGATGAAATAAATATATGATCAATGATCTGAAAAACAACTGTTTGATTTATTGTTAAATAATTTACATGGCTAATACTTTTGATTCATACTACAGTATTACGGAAGTTCTACTTCTGCTGCTCGCTTGTATGAAATATTGACATTTTAGGTTAAATAATCAAAGCAAGGTGATGCTATGTTAAAGCACAATTCAATTTTCACTTAAAGATAGCACATAATTCTTTATGATTGTTACAGTCCTTACAATGTTATTGATCCTTTCCATTACTGTAGGGGAGTCATCAAGAAAAACACATTTATGCGATTCTCAAAAGCCACAAATAACAGCATCTGGAACACACATGTAATTGTATTTTAGGTCAACATTAAAAAAAAAGAAATAAAAGTCCCAAAAATTATTATGTAAAAAAATGTAGAAGGCTCTAGCCAATGCAACGAGATCTGATAATACTTTTACCAGGTTCAAAGGCATTTGCAGTTTCTAAGAAGCTAATTGCATCCTACACCAGCTGGGCAAAAGGCATTTTAAAGCCATTTAAATCTGTGTACATACACAAATAAATAATTAGCATTTTTATAAAGCCTGCCTGATAACTTCTTCATACATTTATAACCGTATAATGTACTCTCCAGTAGGAAAATTTCACAGATGTTTTGGCTGGTGTTAGAATCTGGCACAATTGTTTCTCAGATTTTGCAAATAGTGTAGTCCATCCCATGTTGTTCCCTGTCACAAACATTTTTTGAGCGGTACTGATTATCCAAAACCTAAGATCCTGATCAGACGAAAAAGCCTGGACAGGCAAATTTCTCACTGCAGAATACAGCTTCACCGACCGCCACAGGTGCTCAGTTGCTGTTTGGTAGTCTGCACAAGTGGAGTCAAATACAGGATGAAGGCCATAGATTCTTCATCAAAAAATGTTCAAGGTTGCTTTTGCTATGTATCCAAGATAACTGTAACAAGACAAGCATCTCTAAGAAAAAGAAAACATATTTAGAAAATAAATTCCAAGTCCAAATATTTGAGAACTGGAAGTCTAAATTGAGGAACAATTTAATATTGTCACAGTGCAAAATATCTTTGTGTCATTGCTCCACAGATGATTAGCGTTCTCAGCCAGCTGATCATTGACAATATGGAAGTACAGCGTTGGTTGTTTAAAGTGAATGATGAATCTGGAGGAAATGGCACTGCCTATTGTGATATTATTTCGCATTTGAAATGCTACCACTGGGTTCAAAAGGAACGTCAGAGATACAGCCCTGAGATATGGAGTAAGAAGGGGGCACATGTAAGTCACGAAGGAGGAGGGTGGCTTGTTTGTTGTCATGGCTTCTTAATAGTCCACTGGGGTTCTTCCTCACGGGAAATCTTTTCTCTGAGCTCTCATTTTAAGACATTGGTAAGAGTTGATATTACAGAGTCCAGACTAGCTTGTACAAAGTAATAGGTAACAGTAATTCAAATGAAACAGTTAAATATTCCAAAATATATAAATGAATGCCTGTCATCTAACTGTGGAATAAGTTGGGTGTCGTAACACTTCATTGATATGCAATAATGTGCAAACTTTACACAGTATTTTTTATCCAAAGTGAGGACATGTATAAATGAAAGTATATAGGCGGTAGACCCTTAAATCAACATAGAAACTTGGAATTACTGGAAGAAAAAGTGTTGGACTAATATAGTTGAACAATACTAACCAATTTGAAATCACATACAAACTGATTACTTTTTAATCTGGTTTTCTAAGGATTATTTTTTCTGTACATTTTTCCTCACTAATAACTTTTAAACCTGTTAGCAATTTTCAGCTGTGTAAGACAGAACACTTGAGGTCTCAGAGATCGTTAGACTCCTGCATGTTTCATTACAGTGGGTGTTTAGGTAAGGAGAGAGATCCTATAAATACTTAACCGAGGGAAACAGTATAGCATGAACTCATGCACTAGTAGATTCCTAAGAATCCACATGATTGAGAGAGGCTGTAAGATGATACATTTCAACCGCAGAAAAATCCATATGAAACTAGACTTCATTAGTTCTGGCATTCAGAGAACTATTCGTAGTTTAAATATTCATTGGTATTTAAATGTGTTAATTTCAATAAGCATTTGATATTTCTGTATATTGTGCCAAATTCATTCCTAATGTAATGGTTTTAAAGCCAGAAGGAATGTATCCAGAAAGAATTGTTTAATTTACATAAACTACTCATTACAGCTCTTTTGATTTTTTTAATTCAATCAAAACTGTTTTGAAATTTTTGTTTGATTGAATTATATTGTATATTAAAATTTCAAATTGTGCTGATTACAGTTCTGTTGCATTTGACAACTACAAAATAATTCCACATAATAAAATAGAGCTTATCATATAAAGCTGAAGGGCTAATTCCTCTGATCTGCTAAAGATCCCTCACTCTGCGCAAGTGAAGCAGCATAAAGTAGAGCACTGGAGAGCCACCCCAGTGGAAGCATTGTCTGGCCACTGAGCTCTCTGGGACATAAAGCTAACAAGATATCCAGATCCTGCTCCCACTATCTGAGTCAGTGGGGCAGAAGACATGATTCACCAAGTCTAGTTCTTTGCTGGTATAAATTCCCTATTGTCCTGGTTTTGGCTGGGATAGAGTTAAGTTTCTTCCTAGTGCTGTGTTTTGGACTTAGTATGAGAAGAATGTTGATAACACACTGATGTTTTTAGTTGTTGCTAAGTAGTCTGCTAGTCAAGGACTTTTCAGCTTCCCATGCTCTGCCAGGTGCATAAGAAGCTGGGAGGGAGTATAGCCAGGACAACTGACCCAACTGGCCAACGGGGTATTCCATACCATATGACATCATGCTCAGTATATAAATAGGACGCGTGGTCCAGGAAGTAGCGATCGCTGCTTGGGTATCGGTCGGCCGGTGGTGAGCAATTGGATTGTGCATCACTCATTTTGTATATTCTACCATAATTATTATTATTATTGTCCCTTCCTTTTCTGTTCTATTAAACTGTCTTTATCTCAATTTTTTTTTTTACTCTTTCCCCCATCCCACTGTGGCGGCGGGGAGTGAGCGAGCGGCTGTGTGGTGTTTGGCTGCCTGCCGGGCTAAACCATAACACCTATATGAGTAGTATTACTTAGTATTAGTATTAGCGTTCCTGTTTCTGTGCCTTTTCAATTCTTTCATGGCTAAGTGACTCTGCATAAAGGACATAGTGATAACTGGCTTTCTTTGGTTTCCCTTTTATACTGCATTTACGTTGAGCTTTGATGCAACCAGGAGTCAACCCATTAAAAGCCCTTAAACATAAATGTTTGTTGGAAGTTGGAAAATACATACAGAATAACGTATTTGAGCTAATTTCCTGAAGTC